AGAAAGAAAAATAAATAAATAAATAAACTAAACTAGTCTAGATCCCTCGTTTGACATGCGGTTTTAGCAGCAATGTCACCCACATTCACACCCTTTAACGAACCCGGCCTGCTCCAAAAAACTGTCCGCGGTGCAGCACTGTACAAATTATGTGTCCATAACGCGTATTCTGCTGTCAGAGAAAGGGCAGGATACTGTTGCTGACGACACCGAGGCCGCCTTCTCAGTTTGCTGAATCCTGCTCGGGCTTTTTTTTTTTTTTTTTTTTTGCAAGTTGTCTGTTCTTTATATAAGCCGGTGTCAGTTTGATTAATAAAGAAGGTTAATATTGTGTGTGTGTGTGTGTGTGTGTGTGACACTAAAGGTACTCCCTCGGGTCGACGCAGGACAAAGGAGACAGAATGGCCGAGGCTGACGGCAAATCCACTGTGCTTAACGGTAAAGGATCAGTGCAGGAACATAACTCACCATATCTGTGCGGGCTGCCGTGCTCCGTGAGCTGAGAGTCAACCAGGGGACATGTTTTGTTTTGTTTGTTTGTTTACCAGGTGGCTCTGACGAAAAAGAACCTGGAGAAGACCAGCACAAGGAGGAAGATGCCTCTGGAAGCAAAGAGGGACAAACACAGTCTTCATCTCAAGATGGTAACTGCCTTCTTGTGTCCTGTGAATATTCTTGTTATGGTAGAAACTTTGCTTGTATTTTCAAATCTTAATTACATATACCTTCACCATTCTGCTATTTCTAACATTGTTTGAGTTTAATTTTCTCAAATGTGTTGCAGCCTGATAGGATTTAACATGTAGTTGAACCTCCCAATGAGAAAGTGATGCCTTAACCTTATCCTCCGTGGCTCCCTATTTCTGTAGCTCCCAGAGAAACAGGAGAGGCGTCCGGAGACAAGCCTATGCCGGATGTGGAAGGAGAGACAGGGACAAACGGAGAGGAGGAGGAGGAGGAAGACACAGACAGCATGGATGGCAGCGGCCTTTACTCCCTGACTGAGGACGGTGAGAGAGAGAGCGAGGGAGGGAGACGAGAGAGAGCAAAGAACAAAGACGGTGGGAAAAGGGCGGCTAGAAAGAGGAATAGACCTGACACTAATCACTCCACCAGCTCAGACGAGGATGACGACGAGGACGACGAGGAAGAACAGAAAGATGACGAAGACGATGACGAGGACATGGAGGCGTGGCTGGGAGCAGAGCTTTCTGACCTGCGTGGCCCCGTATGGCGGGCGGTACCCTCGCTGCGCTCCAGGGAGATCGGCAGGAACTCGCACCAGTTTGTGAGGCGTGTGTGTGGAGCCCGTGGTCTCGTGCAGAGGCTGGAGCTCCAGGGCCGACTGGAGAGGCACACGGGCTGCGTCAACACGTTGCACTTCAACCCCTCGGGCACACGCCTGGCTTCAGGCAGCGATGACCTGCGGGTGGTGATCTGGGACTGGGCTGTCCGCCGGGCTGAGCTGGAGTTTGACAGCGGCCACAAGAGCAATGTCTTTCAGGTAGCGCAAAACAAATATCTGTACATCTTGAGAGCAAAGAATGGGATGATTAAGGACTAATGGTGAGAGGAACCAAAGGCAAAGAGAATAGCTCAATGAGGGATAGTGATTATTTAATATTAATGAATTGTAAATAACATTTGCCAGAAAAGAGAGCAGACACAGACTGATAGAGATCAACGGGTATTGTGGTCAGAAACTTAAAGTGAGTCTCCTCCCTGCTCTGTATGTACACAGGCAAAGTTCCTGCCTCACAGTGGAGACTCCACCTTGGCCATGTGTGCTCGAGATGGTCAGATCAGAGTGGCTGAGCTCTCTGCCACACAGCGTTGCAAGAACACCAAGCGGGTAGCACAGCATAAAGGTGCAGCCCACAAGGTGAGCGTCTTAAGGTGCCATAAACTGGTAAATATATATTTAGGACTCTGATAGCCTGATGATTAAATGTGTTGTTGTTTTTTTCTCCAACTCATTTTTGTTCAAGCTTGCCCTTGAGCCAGATTCCCCCTGCTCCTTTCTGTCTGCTGGCGAGGATGCTGTGGTGTTTGGTATTGACCTGCGTCTAGACCGCCCCGCCAAGTGAGTGATAACATTATTTAAGTTTACCAGGTCTAAATATAGTCTTCTGTCCTTCTGTAGAACTTCTAAAGTGACTGGCTTGTGCAAAAAGTGGGCAAAATATCATACGTTTGTTGTGTTGTTATGCAGTTATCCTGCCTTTCAATCAGTGTTGGTGAACGTCTACTTTTAAACACGTTCCTCTTTGCCAGTTTTCCCGTGTTTGCCATAACTCTTTGTGATTTTTAAAACCTTTAAAGCCAGAGCTGATACGTGTTTTTCCTTTGTGTCTCCTCACATTTGTGTGGCAGTAAACTGGTGGTTGTAAAGGAGGGTGATAAAAAAGTAGGACTGTACACCATCTTTGTCAACCCTGCAAAGACACAACACTTCGCTGTGGGCGGAAGAGATCAGTATGTGAGGTATGGACCACGTTGTTGTTCTAGTGCTGAATGTGGTGCAATGTAAATAGCACAATAAGATTTGTTGCTTACTGTTTCTTAGATGTTATTATTTTTTTCCCTCTCTCACTGTCTCTTCTTCCCACCCTCTTCAGGATCTACGACCAGAGGAAGATTAATGAGAATGATAACAATGGAGTTCTGAAAAAGTTTTGTCCTTCCCATCTGGTATCCAGTGAGTCCAAAACCAACATAACCTGCCTTGTGTACAGTCACGATGGCACAGGTAATAAACTCGCACAGTGAAAACATTTCAAGAAAAATGCAGTGTTTAACCAGTTCTCTATCGCAAGCACAACAAAAATAAAGACATGCAACCGCTTTCATGCAGGGTGTATGGAATTAATTCATTATCCTTGTGACATGATTGAATTTTCTTGCAACCTCTGTAATTTATATTGAAATTCAATTTGATTATCCTTACCTAACTTCTCATTCTGTTATGAACATGTTTTAGAAATATTGAAAATAATGAGCCCTACACTTTATGCTTGCTTGATTTATTGTTTTAAAATGCCCTTCTTAGCCTTCCTGATGCAATCACGATGCAATATCAGCGACAGTCAAACACAATAAGGTCTGTTCTCACTGAATAAAAAGCATTAGTATGCTCTCATGTTTGCAGAACAGCAGTAAGGTCGGGTTCAGCGCCAATTGCAGGAATTTACTTGCAAATGTCCAAAGAATATATATTTTTCTGGGGTCGACAACTTAGCTGAGCTCGTCTGAATCATCTCTTTATGATGAAAGTCCCAGATCATCTTCATCTCAGCCTTCAGGGCATTAACGGAAATTAAACAAAAGACTGTTTTTTGTTGACCCTTTTTTGTTTGTGCAGAGCTCCTGGCCAGTTACAATGACGAGGACATCTACCTGTTTGACTCCAACCACAGTGATGGAGCTGACTACCGCAGGAGATACAAGGGACACCGCAATAATGCTACAGGTGTTAAATTCAGTTCCCGATTCCAGCAATCATTTATTACAGTAATAAAGTAGTGCCCTTTTAATCTTCACACAGCTTTAAAAGTCAAACTCATCAGCTATTGCCCAACTTTACAAGCATTTGACTGATGGCCGATCATTCCTGCTGTTACAGTTTGGCTGACGGTTTCTGGTCAGCACACAGACTGATGCTATAACATCCTCTTTAATCCTAACCTCTTTCTCACAGTGAAGGGGGTGAACTTCTATGGGCCATGCAGTGAGTTTGTGGTTAGTGGCAGTGACTGCGGACACATCTACCTGTGGGACAAGTACTCCGCTCGCATCGTCCAGTTCATGGAGGGAGATAGAGGAGGAGTGGTGAGTCAAAGAGAAAGAATAATATATTTTGTATCTTTTGGGGGAAAGGCTGTACAAACACACTGGTGACTGGTAGTGTTTCTTCTGGAATCTCTTTGTGTGAGTTGTGACTACCCAGTATTT